TGAGTGCGTGCAATAAAACTACAACAACAACAACAACAACCAAAAGTAGACCCACCCATGTTTCCAACGATATCTCGATTCGCCTCGCATCACAGTCAAACTGAATCGCGGCACCAGAACGTTATAAACTGATGCGGTATTTGCAAAATCACGAAATTCCATCACCAAATCTAGAAAGGAACATGAAAAATTAATTCGTTAAAAACAGCAACCGAATTTGTTGGGAATGAACGAATTCAACAACGACCGCATTCAATACGGCATACTCAACGTATCCAGACCACAAATCGAGTTACGAAAAATGAGTCAACAAATGAAGAACTGACCCGATAATAAACTCAACGAAACGATGGCATCGCCGAATGGTGAATGTGAATCGACATGAGACGGTATACCATTTCCAGGTTCGTAGATGTTTACGGTCAGTTGATCGGGTCTTTCCGTGAAGATACCCTCGCGCATCATACGATCGATTATAGCATCGCACGATTTCGGTATGACATTCTCGGCCGGAACGTTCGCTTCGTTCGTATCGTAATTGAATTTATAGCCGAAATGCACCACTTTCCGGGATTTCAGTTTGGCTGCAAAAATTATCGAGGATAATTCACTGTCGATTAGGCAATTTGAAATGTTAATTCCTTAAGCACAGTCAAGAACAGAATTTTCAGCACGCTCAACAAAATCCAAAAATTTAAGATGAAATGATGAATTTGAATGAATTCCAAGATAGTAAAGCAAACATGTTGATGAATTTGAGTCCACTGCATGAATTTTTGAGCGATCAACAATCAGGTGAATTAAGGAATCAGACCAGGAACAATGCAATTTAAAACAAACTTTTCGCATAAACACAATCGTTAAGTGTCTCCATCAACTGCTTCTCTTCCGCTTCATCAATAAAATTTTCGAGTACTTTCAGATCGGCTGGTGCTCTACATCGTTCGTCTTTTTTCACCGATGGTACTGAAATGAAAGGTTACCAAATGACAACATTGTGAACGGTAATTTTATAGACGCATCATTCAAAAAAGTCTTTAATTCAACTGACTAAACTTCACAAGACATTTTTCATGCTATTTTCAAGTTGATTTCAAACTTTGAAATTATCACTGATAATTTAAAATTATCACTGGTAATCTTATCGTGTAGCCAGCATGTTCAACCAGGATGCATATTTTTCTCATTATGATGAATGTGTATGAATCAAATGAACAGTTCCATAGGGCAGTAAGAGAGGAAAATGGCACCTTTTAACAACACATCCCATGAACAACATTCAATTTCTTTACTTCGTCAGTGAGAATCTCTTCTAGAATGAGATACATAAGAAATCAACTAACAATTTTCAACAAATGCCATGAAGAACGGTAAAGCATTTGGCGGAAGCAGATCAGGGACTTGACCATTCAAAGAATCAAAAGCGTTTACGGCGTTCTGGATCGATGAGAACTGCACAAATGAGTATGCTCTTTTGTTTGGATACACAACGAATTCACACTGCTCATCATATCGATGAAATATCTGTTCGAGTTCATCCAGTGATACACCACACAATATACTGCTATTCCCAACGAACAAAGTCTAGAAATCGGACCTTTTATGCAACAAGAAATCAGCTGAACACGTCTCAGACAAGCTAACTTGCCGCTGGGATTTTAATCTGGAATCGTACATCATGATTCTCGATTAAAATCCCATCATAAATGGGATAAAAAAAGTTCCGCTGAGAATGTGTCGCTTGGACACCAGTGAAGACGTAAAGAATCGAATTGAGGCTTACATTTTTTCTCACTTATATTAGAGCTTCCGGTTCTTTCGGTTCCTCACCAAATCATAATTTTCGTAAAATATTATGATGGGAAACTCATTAAATCCAAACAACGCAGATTTGGGCAGGGGTTAAACACAACGTGATTTTTATGGGGCAATGAACTGAGAGGCTTGAGCAAATTTTTTGATTTTATTCTGGTGGTACTACACATATAACGCTAATGGTCTTATATGTAACGATGAGACGATCGAGTGAGTACAGATTGTATTTAGCAAATGGACGCAACAACGATAACGGTGAAAAGTATGATAAGAACAAATTTGATTGAAAATGATAAAAAGTGATGACTGATCCCGGAAATGTTCATATAAAACAGTGAGTATGCAATGTGAGATAACTTACAGTTGTTGGTTGTGACGAGTGCTTTACGTCCGGATCGTGTTTCTGCATTTGCCTCAAGCACTTTCCAATTTTACGACGCATTTTGTCGATGCTCACCTTTCTCGAAACGTTACTTTTCGAAGCGTTTTCCAGGTCCATAATCATACGAAGGTGAGTCACCAGTTGAACTGCATAAAAATGCACATGTTAATATTATTACATGAGTCAACAGCCACATTTATGTCAGTATCAAAAGCGTTCCGCGTATAATACGATAAAACATGTGGACCGTCATAAAAAATTTACATACATCGAAATTAATTTCGCTGAAGCTCGGAATGTATACCGATTGTGAGACAACTCAAGAGGACCCTGGTCAGCTAGGCAGCAGATTCTTTTAAGGGTGCGGGTCGATCTAGTCAATGGGCGTATACCAAAGCAGTGTGAAGACAGAGAGAGAGAGAGCAACACGTGTCAGTGGTTTTCACACCTCGAGAAACAGAAGAGAGCACGTAATACATAAAGGAATCTGCTTAGGCTTGAGCTCGCTTGCTAGTCCCCCGTCGCAGAATCGAGCAACTGCTGAGCCTTCAGTAATCACATCTTATATGTGCATGTGTCATCAAATAAACATGAACATTCTCACTTCGGCGAGGTGATATCTGACAATGAGAAAAATTTACGACGATCTTCATTCTGAGTACAATTCTCGATAGAGCTTCTCATGCGCACCAAAATTAAACAATTGCACACGATTTATCATAAAATTAGGTTTGGAGTACGATGCTTCTTCACTCGTACCAGTTGCTCATTGCACTCGTTCTCCATCGCAAACACATTCGTTCGCATTCGTTTACTCTCCTTTCTTCCTAGAGGTGTGAAAACCTCTGACTCACGTTGCGCTCTCTGTCTTCATGCTGCTTTGATACAAGCCCATTAGCATCTCTCTTTAATGTTACGGCAACATCGATCACTGTTAGCAATGGTTCTTCAACACTTTTTGGCGAGTCGGGCATTAATCCTTTACATTACGCAATTCAAAAGCAAAGAGGAATTTAATTTACTGTCTGTTCGTTTTTCCGTTGGTATGATTGTCGTGAATTAATATTATTTCATCGCCATTATCACATTCTTTCAAATCTGAAATTGCAGGATTTATCCAAGTAATTGTCTGTTCAATCGAGTGCATCAGTGAACAGTTCAACAAAGATGGACGGAAATGCAACTCCGATGGCTGGAAGTGCAGCTGTCAAGAGCAATAGTATGATCTACATTTGTGGAGGTATGCTTTCTTGATGGGTGCTTTTCGAAGCGTGAACGTTTATTCGCAGCCTGAACAATCACTTTCATTTCTGAATGCATTTATCGCAAA